CTTGGTAATGCACCTTATACTCAAGTTGGGTATAAGACGTATTAGTGCTTGATTACTTTGCTACACTAGGAACTTTGAGAGCATAAACTCATATGAAAGAGAGTATAGTACAAGCCTTATAATCCATGGTGAATACAAGGACATGCATGAGAGAGAGACCACTCATAGTAGTCTAGGAAGATAGGTAGCAAGATAATACCATCTCTAGAGACATAGAACAAGAATGCTAGCAAGGAGCCTTAGTAGTGGTGTGAACTTGAGGAGCTTGAAGGAGAATTGAAGGGCAGCTTGAAGGAGAGGAGCTTGGAGATGCCTTGTTGGACTTTGAGAAACTACTTGAGAAGTTGGAGAGGATTCTTGGTGAAGATAAATAGCAACGGAGCATGTGATGGTTGTTGAGCCTTTGGTGACTTGGATTTGTAGACCATGTGGTGTTGGAGAAAACTTGGATGAGTTGGAAAGGAAAGAAAGGAGGAGAAATGAAAGCTTTGTTGAGTTGGAAGGTGGGGAATGTAAAAAAATCATGAGAGTATTGTGTGATGATGTGGCAACTTGGATGACTTGGGATAGGAAGGAAGGAATGAATAAATAAAAGGCATGTGGAGGTTGATGAGTAGGAAAGGGAGGAATGTGCTTGAGGCACATGTGAGGAGGATTATTGGTTGGAGAATACTTGATGAGTAGGAAGAAAGAGGACATGGAAAGAGTCATGTGCCTTGAGGTGGGAGTTAGAGATGAATAGGAGGATTTGTTGGAAGCTTGGTTGAGGTGGACTAGGAATGATTATGAGAGTTGGGGAAAATTAAGAAGTAGTTAGGAGGCCTTAGGTTGGAGGGGATGAGCTGGAAAATTTGGGTTGGAAATTTGGTGGGTAGAGTAGGTTTGGTTGGGAGGTAATGGGTTGGGGTAGGTGAAGAATTGTAACGAGCGGTTTTGGAGGGGAAGGGGTTGTAGTGGCGAGAAAAATGTGGCCCGCGCATCATGTGTCACTCACAACAGAAACCACATCAGCTAGAAACTGGCCCATATGTATTCCCCAGGAAGAACGCAGCTTGATCCCTAGACACAGCTGGTAGTCCATGGGCAAGGAAAATTGCCTAGGGGAAGGATTCGCCATGTCGCAAATGCCTAGAGGATTCCTCGTCGTACGCGTCATCTACCATGGGTGTTGCGGGTGTTTGCGCCAACTCCTGCTTGGGCCGTCCCCTCATGGGCGTGCCTTGCGCCATCCAAGCCGTTGACGGATTCCTGCTGGGGACTGTAGCCACGTGTCCCTCAGCCAGTGCATGAAATCGCTCTTCCTCCCAGTGATTCCGCCTCCCGCGATTTTTCGTTCCGTCACGCTCCTCGATTGCTCCTCTTCCTTTGGCTTACATTTGACCAAGAGAACATCGCCAATTCTTCGTGTAACTTGTAACAGCCGTGTAGCAATCAGTGGTTTCGTTAACCATGCAATCCACCTATTTGCAGCTCCTTGAAATCGTCCATGATAGTAACTAGATGCGTCGCAAGTTTTGGAATCCGTTTTCTTTACTGTTCGTTTCCAGCCGACCTAGAGAACGTGACCCGTCCTTGTGACTTGTTAGCCGATTTTCGAGTGTTTCGTCAACCGAGCCACCAATCTCCTCCACCAGCTGTCTTCAGATCTTGTAACCAGATTTGAAGATCTGTGGCGAGATGCCTTGAGAGCCGCGGGAATCAGATTCAATGGCTCCCCTCTTGTCACGATCCGCTACTCTTCACCCAGCCTCACTGCGAGTTTGTTAGTGCCTCTACTGCCTCTGCACTCTACGCCATTATCTTCTTCACCATGCAAAGTTCTATCTCGTTCGCTCTAGGTATGCGTCTATCCATTTTTTTTGCTTTTGCAAGTCGTTACGGCTCAATCTTTCCCGAACAGTCCTGTTCAATGATTACACTGGTGGGCTTAATCTTCCCCTCCTCGTCTCCTCTCCCCCTCCCCAACCCCCCTCTCTTCCCATCCTCCCCATTTCCTCTCTCAGTCCGCAAGGTCGCTTTGCCCCATTCGTATTCACTACCAATCGCCATTGTGCTTATAAATGGCTTCAGCACCCGCGGCTCACCTTGTCCCCTTCCCCACCTGTAGCTTGAAACAGCCATGGCAACAAGCTGATGCGATCTGGATGACCTTGAGAGGACAATGATCAAGTGCGAGGAGACGAGAAAGGCAGCAGAGAAGACGAAAAAGGTAGCAGACGATGGTGAGCGGCAGAGAGGGAGCATGTGGACGGAATGAAGGAAATGAACGGGAATCTTGTCTAGTTCGTTTATAAAGAAAGCAATCAAGTTGCAGGAGTGTTGGATTTGCAGGTGGCGATTCAATTCATGCATACACCTCTGGTCAATTGAACTGGTTCTTCTAATTCCTTTTTCTGAACTAACAACTTATTTATCTACACTTCCTTCTAACGTCAGGTCGCCTAGATCTCACCGGGCTCCTTGTTTTCATCCGTCTACTTTCCTGTGTGTCCTAGGTATGGCGTGGCTACGCAAGCATATGTGGCACCAACTACAGTACCAGTGTTCCAAGATTAGGGAGTTGCGTGCAGAGAATGTGGCACTTAAGGAGCAGACTAAGGGACGTGAGAAGCGTAAAGTTAAAGTCATGGAGTGTGAGAGGATGGAAGCTAGAGTCGAAGATTTCGAGAGGATGGAAGCTAGAGTGAAGGACTTTGAGAGGATGGAGGCTAGAGTGAAGGACTTCGAGAGGATGGAAGTTAGAGTGAAGGGTTTTGAGAGGATGAAAGCTAGAGTCAAGGATTTTTAGAGGATGGAAGCTAGAGTCAAGGATTTGGAGAGGATGGAAGCTAGAGTCAAGGGTTTTTAGAAAATGGAAGCAAGAGTAAAGGAATTTGAGAAGATTGAAGCTAGAATAAAGGAATTCGAGAGAATGGAAGCAAGAGTCAAGGAATTTGAGAGGATGGAGGCATCTGGTAGAGAAAATGTTGGAGAGGAAAGTGCAGAAGTCGAGGCAATTGAAAGCCGAAGTGCTGAGGCTGAATTATTCCATTAATGAGCAGCAAGCACATTTCAAGGCGCTAGAAGGGAGACTCATGGGAGAAATTGAGTTGTTGAAATTGAACGCCAGGGCACCTGGGAAGGTGGATGAGAAGTTGAAGGATTTGACTTAAGACATGGAAGAGGTAAGGCAGGAGAAAGAGGGGAGGAGCTGGGTGTTATCCCACGTGTGGGTTTATGTGTGGACTAGTGGATGCACATTCTCCGTTTGTATTGTTTAGCAGCAAGGCCCTGTTCACTTCGTGCCATTTGAAGTAAGAGATATGTCAAAAGCTGTTCCTTTTTGCAATCTTGGCAGGTGACGCAGCAGCGGAACGACTTACGCCAACAACTAAGAAACACCCAAGAGCACCGGGGCAGGTTGCAACAAGAATTGATGGATGCTCGAGACAAGTCCCTAAAGGCAAGTAAACGAAACTCTCCCTCCTCACTTTCCCCCCCTCTTGCCATTTCCTCTTTCTCCTGCTGGAACCTAATTTCCTTCCCTCCCATCCCCCCCTCCACCCTCCCCACTCACCCCCCCCGTTTCATGGTGTTCTTGAATTGGCACCAGTAGCGTCTGCTTGGAACCCTTATCAAAATGCGTTGAAAGAGGTTCTAGACTACCCTGGATTTACTCTCTGAACCGTTCTTTGACTTCGACACCATCTACCTCCCATTTCATTTACGTAACCTAAGGCTGATAGGACCCCCTTCTGATGTTTATTGCACCACATTCTTCTCTTCCATAAGATTTGTATCAACTAACAATATATGTATGTCCTAGCTAGAATATATTTGTTAGTATATCCTACCTAGGTCAGCTCTTAGAGGGGATAACTATTTGTACTTGTATCTCCCCTCCCCTCTTCCTAGTCACATTTTCTCGCGCTATTCCAACAATGTGTTGCGCTTCTTTATTATCTGTATCCCTCAGGTGTTGCGTGACTGCTTTAGAGATCTCAGCAAAGTGCCAGAAGCAGGGGTACCACACCTATTGAGCGCCATCAGCAGCTACATTCAGCCGGGGCTGAAACAGGAGAACGATGATTTCGTGGAAGTCAATCCAGAGCCCAAGCTAGGGGAGGTCATGAGGCTACTGGGTGAAACATGTCAAAAACTCAGCCACTAACCACTGAGTTAAAAGGACATTTTAATAGCGGGTCAGTGCACCCATAGCCCCTCAGGCTCTGCACCTGTGGCCCTTCCCCGAGGATCTTCTCAAGGGTAACCCCAGCGGGTCACTCGACACCCCCCCCCTTGCAGAGATAGGTGGAAGACACGAGCGCCTCTCCAGCACAAGCACTGGGAATTGAACCCGAGTTACCAACGCTCTGATACCATGTCAGAAACTCAGCCACTAACCACTGAGTTAAAAGGGCTTTTTAATAGCGGGTCAGTGCGCCCATAGCCCCCCAGGCTTTGCACCTATGGCCCTTCCCCGAGGATCTTCTCAAGGGTAACCCCAGCGGGTCACTCAACAAAACAATCAACACGCTGATCGCTGCAGCTCCCAAAAAGTGAGGTACAAGAGGAACGTCCTTGCATGAGATAATATCAATTTCGTTCTACAAACTGATGGCGAAACCTTCTGCAATATTGCATGAGATATTGCACTATGTTGAAAAATGTTTAGCACAAATAATGAACCCCAATCGTCTTTGGTGAGTGTTGTTGTGAACCGAGTTTTGCGGCCTATTGAACATGAACAAGTCTCAGGCATTCAGCTGCACTGCATATGGAGAAACCACATATGCTAGCTAATCCACCTTGAGAACACCACGAGCTACTCCATAATCTTGGAAGGAGCCCAAATGATAAAACGTGTTAAAATTTCGTTAAATATGATCGTTCGTTTGTTTAAAGTGACAGTTCGTGTTAGCGCGGCCGCTAATATGCTGCTAATATATTCCCTTCCGCCCCCCTTGAAATCTTCACTCATGTCTGCTTGATTTTCCCACCCATGAGGCGAATCCAACGGTCATCTAGATTTGCACAGCTCGATCCATCACGAGCTCAGCTTGACAATGGGCAAGCAATCGCCTAGGGAACAAGATGGTCGTGTCGTGAGGGCCTAGAGATTACCTCGTTTCGCGCAGGAGCTACCATGGGCATTGCGGGTGTTGCGGGGGTTGGGTCTTGGGGCCAGTCCCCTTCTCGGCGCGCCTTCCGCCGTTCCCCCGCAGCCTTGCGCGATTCCATGGTCCCTTGGGCTGGCTTTTGGTTCCTAGATTCCGGATGAGACCGCGCGTCCCCGTGCAGTTGCTGAAATTCCGTGCAGCGGACCTGGCGTTGAGCTTGTTGGGTGCGAAATCCCGTGCGAGAATTCCGTCGCGAAACGCCGCGTGCCTCTCATTTCGCTCGTTTCGCTAATGCACGGGGGTACTGAATCACTGTTCCTCGGGCCAGCGGTCTCGCTTCCCGCGTCTTTTCCCTCTGCGACGCTCCTCAAGAATTTATTTCCTTGTTCGTATTCACTTCCAGCCGACCTAGGGAACGTCACCAGTCCTTGTGACTTGAAGACAGCCGAGCTGCAAGTGTGAAATCCATCACCAGCCGTCTACGATTGTAACCAGAACTGTAGATCCGTCGCGAGATGCCTTGAGAGCTGCCGGTTACAGATTTTAGTGGCTTCTCCTCTCGTCACGATCCGCTCCTCTTGCGAGTTTGCCTGAGTGATTCTTCTGCCTTCATACTCCAAGCTCTTACTCTCGAGTCTGGGCTCCACTCTCAAGCAAGCAGCCCGTTTCGCCCTCGGTACGCGTCTATCCAGATTCCTGACTTTCGCATGTCGTTCGTCTCAATCGTTCCCTCTCTCGATGTTACGTCTGTTTCCTAGTCGTTAGGGCTCAATCTTATCTTGAACAGCCCGTGTCATTGAGTACGGTAGTGGGCTCGATCCCTCCAACTCTCGCTTTCTCCCTCGACCTCTTCCGATCTCTCTCTCTCTCTCTTCCGTAATGTCAATCCGTCAGGATAACTTTAATCCGTTCGCGTAACGAGATTCACAACCACCCTTCATTGTGCTTACCTTGTCTCTTCAGCATCCGCAGCTCACCTTGTCTCCTTTTGTGGACACCCGAGCTGCAGCTTGAAGAGGTTATGGCTACAAGCAATGGCAATCACGCGGATTTGAAGAGGAGATTGATAAGTTGCCAGGACGTGAAGAGGGCGGCCGACGATGGTGAGTGTGAGAGGGGGGGCAGACAGGCAGGAAGGAAATGAAGTGAGTGAGGATTCTCAAAGTTTTTAAAAGGAAGCGATTCAGGGCGTGAAGAGGGTAGCAGACGATGGTGGGTGCCAGAGACGGGGCCGTGGGACGGAGGGATGGAAGTGAATGAGAATTCTGATTGATTTGTTTTGAAAAGAAATGAATGTATCTGCAGGAGAGCTGGAAACACATTTGACGTGGATGGATGGATGGATGCAATTTGTGTTGTTTCCTTTCTTTAAGACAATGTTTCTCCTACTTTTCCTAATGGCCTCCCCTCCCTTTGCTTCCATCCGTCCACCCTTTACTGGCCAGCATTATCGCAGGTAAACACAGACATCTGGCAGCAGCTGCAGCAACAGTCTTCCGAAGCTGACTGGCTAGACACAGAGCTTGAAGTCCTGCTAAGAGGAAATTGGGACCTCCAGCTCACCTAATTGCCACCCCTCTCCTTGCTGCCATCCTTCCCATCCTATTCTGCCCAGCATTAGCGCAGGTAACCACTGACGTATGGCAACAGCTGCAGGAGCAGTCTGCAGAGGTCGACCGGCTGGAAGCAGACCTGGAAGACCTGCTGAGAGCAAATCTGGAGCTCGAGAAGGAGGTTAAGAAACTGAAGAAGAAGGAAAGAGTGAAGGAGTTTGAGAAACTGGAAGCTAGAGTGAAGGAGCAAGAGGTGGAGATTGAGACACTGCGAGCCAGGTTGAAGGAGTTTGAAAGCCTGGAAGCCAGAGTGAAGGAGCAAGAGGTGGAGATTGAGACACTGCGAGCCAGGTTGAAGGAGTTTGAAAGCCTGGAAGCCAGAGTGAAGGAATTTGAGAGGATGGAAGCTAGAGTGAAGGAGCATGAGAGTGAGATTGAGACGCTGCGAGCCAGGTTGAAGGAGTGTGAGAAGCTGGAAGCTAGAGTGAAGGAGTTTGAGATGGTGGAAGCTCGAGTGAAGGAGCATGAGGCGGAGATTGAATTGCTGCGAGCGAGTGCAAGGGATGCCGAGACATCAAAGGAGAGGGTTAGGGAGTGCGAGAATATGCTGGAGGAGAGGGCGAAGGAGATCAAGATTCTGCAAGCCAAAGTGGAGGATCATGAGGAGATTGTTAAGCAGCTAGAAGCATCAATTGATGCCAAGGATGCGAAAGTGAGCTGGTATGAGAAGGAGGTTGAGAGGCTGAAAGCGAGAGGAAGTGAGGAGGCGGAGGAGGACTTAAAGAAGAGAGTTAGAGAGTGTGAGGGTTTGCTGGAGGACAGGGCGAAGGAGATAGAGATATTGAAAGCCGGAGTGGAGGAGCATGAGGAGATCGTTCGGCTGCTAGAGGCGTCAATAGATGCCAAGGACGAGAGGGTTAGGCTGTGTGAGGAGGACGTTGCGAGGCTGCAAGCGAGAGCAAGAGAGGATGGGAACTCAAATGAAACGGTTAAAGAGTGTGAAGGTTTGCTGGACAGGGCGAAGGAAACAACGAAGCTGGAAGACGAAGTGCAGCAGTACAAGATGATGCTTAAGGCGCTGCAGGCAATAAATGATATGAAAGACTCTGGAGTGGCGTCTTTTGAGAGGGAGGTTGAGAGGCTGCGAGTGAGAGCAAGAGAGGCCAAGAGCTCAGAGGCGAAGCTTAAGGAGGCTGAGGAAGAGATCCAAGGACTTTGGAAAAGGATAGAGGAGTTGGAGTTGGAGTTGGAGGTTAACCAGGCCCAGAATGTGGAGGGAGACGGGGAAGTGGAGGGGGGAGGGGAGGAGGAGGTGGAGGGGGAGGGGGAAGTGGAAGTGGAAGGGGGAGGGGAGGGGGAGTGGGAGGGCGAGCGGGAGAGGGGGTGGGAGGGGGAGGTGGAAGGGGAGGGGGAGGCGGAAGGGGAGGGGGAGTGGGGGCGGGAGTGGGAGGAGGATAGGAACGTGGATGGGATCGTGGAGGACCTGACCAGAGATTTGGATGAGGTATCAGAGGAAGGGGGAAACGGCATGTTGACATGTGTGGTATGCGTGGGAGTCTGTGTGGGGGGGGAGAGGGGGGGGAAGATACGTGCGTGCGTGCGTGCATGGGCGCGCATGTGTGAGCATGTGCACGCATCTTCTGGATACTGCATTTGCTGCGTGTTCGCACACATACACACCCAGGCGCTCACAAACCCTTCCCCTCCCTCCCTCCCACACCCCCCCCCCCCCCCCCCCCCCCACTCCCTTACCCCCCCTCTCCGTTTTCTCAAAGCCAATTCCTGGTCTGCTTCCTTGGGTGCCTGGTCGTTCTTGGCAGGTGAAGGAGCAGCGCAACAATCTGCGCCAGCAGCAGAGGAACACCCAAGAGCACAGGGGGAGGGTCCAGCAGGAGCTCATGGAAGCTCGGGATAAGTCCCTCAAGGCAAGCTGCTAAAGATCCTCCCTCCCTCCCACATTCCACGCCCCGCAACTGCGACTCGTGACCGCACCGAAATCCAGGACCCCCGCTCTCCTTCCCCTTACCTCACGTCCCTTGCTCGTTCTGTCTTCCGTTTCCTTCTCCCCACATATTTTCGTTTCACTTGTATTGCCGTGCTTACCTCTCTGCGCTTAGCTCTCTGTGCTTGCCGCTTCTCCTTACAGCAATGCGAAGCCCATCGTTACCACTCCTCTGTTTGTTGCCATAACCCTCTCAGGTGCTGCGGGGCTGCCTGAGAGAAGTCAAGTGCCTGTCGTAACCCTTCCGTTCTTTCCTGTGCCCCTCAGGTGCTGCGTGACTGCTTGGGAGATCTCAGCAGAGTGCCAGCAGAGGGAATACCGCAGCTAGTGAGCGCCATAGGGACTCACGTTCAGCCTGAGCTGGAGGAAGAAGAGGAGGATTTGGTGGAAGTCAATCCAGAGCCCAAGCTAGGGGAGGTCATGAGGCTGCTGGGTGACACAATCAACACGCTGCTCTCTGCAGCTCGCAGGAAGTGAGGGGCACGGTACCAACGAAAACCTCCTTGCAGCAGTGCCGTACCAACTTGAAATGGGGTTGGCTATCTTAGTATGTGGCCATCAGGTTACAAAGCATGGTTGAAAGCTAAAAAGTCAACAAAAATTCAGTAGTATACATTATCGTACTAATTTTTTCATGTAGTATAAAGTTACTCAAGAGGCTTCATTTTATAGTTCGTATTCACGCTTGGTATTGCTGTTTACAAGTTATCTCATGGCCAGATAACATATCACTCAATCTCAAGTGTGCTCCAACCGCACTACACCTTTTGTAGCTGCTCCGCCTCGGGAACATCAGGTGCTTCTTCAGCCTTGCCCTTGCACACACAGGCCCATCCATCACGCGAGGCAAAGCTTCACCCAGTGTAGTACAGTAGCCTGAATTGCCGAAGCAGCTTGACGAACACGAGTAGTCTCACCCTCGAGAGCAGCGCCTGGAGAGTACTCTCGCCCTCGTCGTAATACGCGCTAGTGCTTAGATGGCCGTTCCGCCTTGGGGCCAGACCCCTCACAGCTTTCGCGCCTTGGCCCGGCTTCCGGCTCCTAGATTCTGGGCGAAACCGAATCCACGCGGTTGACGAATTCCTTCTGATCTTTTCTCCAGGCGATGAGCATCGCAGCGAGAGCCAAGTTTCCCTCGTTTGTATCACGGAGCACGGAATTACTGTTATTCCCCGCGGTCCCGCTTCCCACGCCTTTTTTTCCTCCGCGTCGCTCCTCGATTGTTCCGCTTCCCTCCTCGTTCAGTCGGCATGGCGAACGTGAGAGCTTTTCGTGTGTCTTGTACCACCGCGTCACAGCTCGCTGGTTTCGTTACCCACGCAATGTACTTCTGTCGCGCGCCTTCCCTGGGAGCCTCTTAGATTCTCGTGGCTTTCCCTCGCTTTACAATTCTTAACTCTCCCAATTGAGCCACTTTCGCGCGAGCCTGATTTAGTACTGTCACGCTTAGAAGTTGAGTTGGTGTTTTAGAATTCTCAAAACCAATTCTACGGCTCTTACCTTCTCCTCCACAACAGGCGTTGACCAGTTAATTTCTCCCTCGGTACGTCGCCGTTAGGAGATAAATGATAGCAACATGTATGGAAGGATGCGTTGTGTATTATTGTTGTTCTCTCTGCAAATGGCTGGAAAACAATACCGCCTTGATCTCAAGCTTCATGGGTACTAACGTAGTTACCTCTAGTGCAGGCTTCGCGCCTTCCTAGTACACGTACACAAACTTCACAAGCAGTGCTTTCGTTAATGTCAAAAAGAATTCGTCCTCTGAAACGTTCTGAAGGATTTTTTTTTTTTTTTTTTTTTTTTTTTTTTTCATGCACATTCAATCCCTTTTCTCCCTTGCCCTAGCCATCTCATACACACAGTGGCACACCCACATATTCACACACCAACACTCACACGCACCCTTTCCTTCTGTAACTGCAGCTTGAAGCAGCCATGGCAACAAGCGGCAACGAGTTGGATGCTTTCAGGGGGAAATTGATCGAGTGCCAGCAGAGCAAAAAACAGGCCGATGATGGTAGGTGGTCGGACGAGGGGTAAGATGTGAGGATAAGTGGAATGAGAAGGGGCTTACCGTCTGTTTTCCGACAGACGGAGTGAAGGCTACGTGGATGGATGGATGAAGCAAAAACAAGGAGTAGCCCATTTTTTTTGTAGAAGACCCTACTCACCTAGTCTTCGTATTCTCGTGCTGTTTCTTGCGCTCGCTCGCAGACATGCCATCTTCATCTGTGCTGTTCTCTGAGTTGGCTCAGCTGCTTGCGCAAGCTTTACGGCAGCTGCACAGCCAGTCAGCCGAAGTCACATTGCTGCATGGAACGCCTGATCCCTCCTTGTTGTTGCCTCTATTCTTCCGCGCCCTCTCTCCCTCTCAGAGTTGGCTCAGCTGCTCGCACAAGCGCTGCAGCAGCTGCGCAGCCAGTCAGCCGAAGTAGCATCACTGCGGGGGACGCTGGATGTGATGCGAGTCGTGAATGCCAAGCTGGCGGCACGGATTAAGGGATTTGAGAAGGCGGAAGCTAGAGTTAAGGAGCTCGAGTGGGCAGAAGCTAGAGTGCAGGAGGTAGAGAAGCTACTGGCAGTGAGGGCGAGGGAGCATGAAACAATGGACTCCTTGCGCGCAGTGAATGCAGAGCTGCTGACCCGGGTGAAAACGCTTGAGAGGGCGGAAGCTCGACTGAAGGAGTTAGAGCAGGTGGTCGTGAGGGCGAGGGAGTATGAGACGCTGGACGCGCTGCGCGCCGTGAATGCAGAGCTGATGGCACGGGTGAAGGTGCTCGAGCGGGCGAAAGAAGCTCGACTGAAGGAGTTAGAGCAGGTGGTTGTGCGGGCGAGCCAGAATGAGACGCTGGATTCCTTGCGCGCAGCGAATGCAGAGCTGATGGCGCGGGTCAAGGTGCTCGAGCACGTGGAGGCTGGAGGGAAGGAGCTTGAGATTAGGGTTGGAGAGATTGAGAAAATGGAGGCAAGGGTAAGAGAGTATGAGACAATGGAGGCAAGGGTAAGAGAGTATGAGACAATGGAGGCAAGGGTAAGAGAGTATGAGACAATGGAGGCAAGGGCCAAGGAGTCAGATAGCTTGAGAGCGAAGGTGAGAGCTCTGGAGGAGGAAATCGAGGGCCTGGTCACGAGGGCAAGAGAGGCGGAGTACCTGGACGCACGGGTTAGACAGCTTGAGGGGTATGAGGAGGAAGCACGAGGGGCACGGGATGTGGTGAAGCGGCTCACACGGGAGATAAGGCATTTGGAGTGGAAGGTGCACGAGCCTGAGCAAAGGGCGATGGTGGAGAGGATGGAGAGGAGGGTGAAGGAAATGAGGAAAGATTTGGACGAGGTAAGGGAGGAGAAAGGGGGAGGGGAGCATGGGATGATGTGCCATCTGTGTGTGTGTGTAGATGTGGGCAAGTGCGTTGACATATGTGCGGATGGGCATGTGTGGGTCTTCATGGTGTTGATCTGGAGGTAGCTGGCTCTCTAGGTTCCAGTCAACTCGTGACGTCATTTCTTGTCCTGGAGTAAGCAACCTTGTAAGAGGAGCGGATAACACTTGAGGCGTTTTTTAAACTGGCAGATGACGCAGCAGCGGAACGGGTTGCGCCAGCAGCTGAGGAACACCCTAGAGCACAGGGGGAGGTTGCGGCAACAACTGATGGAAGCTCGGGACATGTCCTTCACGGCAAGTGGCTCAGGCCTTTCGCTCTCTTGACCCCCCCCCCCCCCCCCCCCCCCCCCCCTCCCTCTCCTCTCCCTCCCCCATTTTTTCCAGATGTGAATTTTCTTGCTTGCATTTCCACCTCCACCATTGGCAATTTCACATTTTGCAACTTCTCTTTGCAGGAACGCTAAGTCAAGGCACTGACTGCTTTCACCGCCCATTTCTGTGCCCCTCAGGTGATGCGTGACTGCTTGGGAGATCTTAACAAAGTGTCAGCGGAGGGCATACCACAGCTAGTGAACGCTATAAACACATACATTCAGCCAGAGCTGGAGCAGGAAGGGGAAGACCTGGTGGAAGTCAACCCAGAGCCCAAGATAGGGGAGGTCATGAGGCTGTTAGCTGATACCATTGGGACACTGCTTGCTGCTGCTCCCAGGTTATCGAGCTTGCATATACCGTAATCCCCTGTATATAACACTGTTGGGCTGAAAAAAGCCCTTAGGATCTTTTGCAGAGACTAAGTCCCAGCTGTAGAGACTTGAGACTTGGAGTAGTGCAGCGGAAGTTGAGGCAGTTGAACCCTTGTACTAGTATGTGAGAACAAGTGATTGATTAAAGAAACAAGCATACAGCAATATATAGAAGATAAGAAAGCAGTTGTAGAATACAGTTACAGGAACGGTTTATCGAGTCGCACAGCGACTCGATTGCCGCTTCGGTTACCATCCGTGATGTTGTAACGGTCAGTCGCAACCTCCAGTTGCGACCTTTCGAGTCCTTTCGCATTCTTTGTCCGCCCCCTCGTGTAACCTCCGTTGACTCGCGTGCTCCCCTGTAATCTTCCTCGAGTACAGTGTTACACTTCAGAAACGCTTAAGTCCTTGAGATATTTCCAACACTCCCCTTCGTTTCTGGAGTGCTGGAGTGTTCAGATCCGGTGACGTTTGTTTGCCCGGTTAGGAGCATGCAGTAGTCGAATTTTGCTTTCGCCAATTTCTTTGTCAGATAATCTGAGGCCATTTCTGTCGTCGGGCAGTAACTGAGTTGAAGTCTCCCCTTCGCGATTTCATCCTTGACGAAGAAGTACCGCAGGGCGATGTGCTTGGTTCGGTTGGCGAAGCCGTCCTTGTTCGCGATTTTGATCGCAGATTGGTTGTCGCAGAGGAGTGAGAAGGCGGGCAGGGTCGCGATCTTCGCTTCTTCGAGTAACTCTCGTAGGTAGAGTCCTTCCTTGGTCGCAGTACAAAGGGCGATATACTCTGCTTCAGCCGAGGATAGTGCGATTAACTCCTGCTTGCTCGACTGCCAGGAGATAGTTCCGATAGGTTCTAGTCGGTAGATGTAGCCCGTCCTAGACCGTCGATTTTCGCTGTCTCCCGCGTGGTCGGCGTCGACGTATCCGAGTAGTTGTACGGACGGTGTTGTTGCCTTGCTGTAGGTGAGCCCGATCGTCGGCGTGGAGACGAAGTAGAGTAGCGCTCGATTGAGTTCTTCGAGATCTTCCTGTTGCGGCTGCTTCAGATGTGTCGCCAGCTGACTCGCACTATAGGATAGGTCGGGTCGGCAGGTTACTGCTGCGAATAGTAGGCAGCCGAGCTTCTGTTGATACTCCTGGATTTGTTTCGCGGGGAGTTTTGTGGAGGCGCTACTGTTGTTCCCATAGCGGTAGGGAGTTGGGACCGCAGTCGGTGCTAGACCGAATTTCTTCGCGACGGTGCTTGAGTACTTTCCAGCGTGTAGGTAGAACGCCGTGTCGTCTTCGACGATGTTCAGTCCTAGGTACTGGGTAACTTCGTCGGACACCGTGAGCGTCAGGTCCCTTTTCAGCTCCCCTTCGAACCAGGTGACGATGTCGGTGGTAGAACCGATGTAGAGCAGGTCGTCGACGTAGACGATGAGCAGAATGTAATCTCTTCCCTTCTGTAGTCGGTACATGCCTTGGTCATGTGGTA